TCTGCTAAAGTTGTACAAGGGGTTTCTCACCCTCCGAGTGGAACCGATTTTAAAGAAAATTGCCGAAAATTTAAAGCGGTCGAGGGACAGGGGGTGGAAATACCCCCCTCCCACTTTCGCACTAGCACCCACTATGTGGGATACCGAGGGGGTGGTTTACGAACACGTGGGTAGTGGGATTGTTATCGGGACGCTTATCGTGTGTGAGGGGCTTATGAGGATTGCTCGGCAACCACCGTACTACCAACCCCTAGCTAGGAACATACCTAGCCAGCCAGTCACCTACCCCTTTGCAGAATACCTACCCACTGTACCAGTATCAACAGTTAGACTGGTACCACTGCCTGAATACTTACTACCCCTGACTAACCACTATCAACCAGCACTGCGTTACGAGCCACCCCTCGAGTGGGTAGTAGCGCATTGTTGTTCGGCAAGATATTGTTCTGCGCGTTAAAATGTTCATTGGTACTGATCAAATTTGACGTTGCGTTTGCACATTGACTGCTGCAACGTCAAACGGAGGATCGTTAAGTTCGATATACGGTAAGAAAGTCATTCCCCGTGGTAAAAAAAATTTCTTGGAAATTTTCTGAAAAATTTTGAATAATCCAAAAACGTCAATGGCCACGGGTGGGGGATTGCTATATTTTTTTTATTTTTTTTTTTTCTGGTCCACCCCTATCTTGGTTCTCGGCCCGGTACCAAGGGGATCGTTCTCGCGGTGGGGATGAACGACGATATTATTTTTCATAAGTGCCGCGGTAAACGGTCGTTACGCGTGATTGCATGGATCACGGGAGATGAAGGTGAGGATGAAGAGGTTACTTGAGGTTCTAGGTAACTTGGCTTGGTCGGGGGGGATGGTAAAATAGGTTGTCGGTCTTTTTACTTTTTTCTCTTAAAAAAAAAAAAAAGTGAAGATCATACCCGACGGGGACAAGTATACAGGAGCCGAAGGTCGTTGTTACGGTCTGGTATTTAATTACGGTAAAAAGAAAAACCTAACAGGAAACATAGAAGAGACAAGGCACGGAAAACGAAGCTTCCTACGGGGTGGGAAAGAAAGAAAGGCTGCTCCAGTTGCTGCGAATTCGTTTACTTTCTATTACTTTGTTTTATCAAGGGATGAGATCATTACTACCCCGAGTAACGTCTCGCGCCGCTACCTTTACAGTCTCACCCTGCCGGCTGGTTCTCGCCTCGCGCGACAGTAATTTTACTTAATTAAATTCCGTTCTTTCTACCCGGGGAATCGCTACGTCTAACCCCCCCGGCCCAAAACCACCCCCGGGCGAATACCCGTGCGTACACAGGGAGAGGCGTCAGAGATTTTTTTTCATCCCTTAGTACCAGTCGAATACGGTCAGAGCAACGAACGGTCCAGCATCCGTCGGTGGGCTCCATCGTGATCGTTGTAGGACCCAAAAGTTTGAAGGTGAAAATTTTGAAAAAAAAAATTTTTCCCGTAGACAAAAAAAAACCAGAAAATAATCAGAAAAATTAGATATAAATTTTGACAAAAAAAAATTTCATACCTGACCCAATAAGACGTCAGTTGTCCCAAGCAGACAAATGGCCCCCGGTACTAAAGGTCCGTTTAACGTTCAACTGGTCTGGGTGGTACTTTTGGGAACGGCAATAAGGCCCAATGTAATACGCAGGTTTTCGCGTATCAGCCGATACGAGGAAAGGGGTTATGTAGGTTGGCTGGTGAAATATGCGCTCGTAGCTATTTAACTGTCTCCGCGGCTATACTGCCGATGTAAAGTATTGCGTACGCCGTTGTTATCGTATACGGCATACGGGCATCCCAAGCGTGGCCGTTAAATTTGCGGCTCCGAACAACAAAATTTGATTACAAGCCGCAAAGGTGGGCATCGGCTGTGAGAGCGAACCGATTTGGCGCCATCTCGCGATACTACCGAATGCGCATGCGCGCGCGCAGTTTACTGATTACGACCGAACGAAGACGCGGGCTACTAGGAAAAACACTAACCTAAAGCCGAAACTGGCCGCGCGGCATTAAAAACGAAAGATTTCGCCATTAAAATTTATATATTCCTCACGGGGCCGTCCGGTTACAGCCTTGGGATATCTTTTGTCCTACGCCTTTATAGGGATGAGAATCGGTATATGGCTTCGAACGGCGAGAGCCATTAATGTTATCAGCGACGACTGTTGGATCGAGGAATAATTTAAAAAAAAAAAAAAAAAACCTCTTAGTAAGATTTTCAAAATTATTTTCGGTTCGGCATGACATTTTGGGCGGTTTCTAATTTTCTTTTAATTTAACCAAAAAAAAAATCAACCCTTTCCTTCGCCACTCTATCCACTCATCTGGACGATCAACGGATTCCGTCCTATGGCAGCTGGAAGAGTCAAGGGGGTCCAGGGCTTAAAATACTTAATTAGTTTTTCCACGCTAAGAAGTCGCGGAGCTATAAATGTTAATTGTAGATGAAGTGGTAATAAGAAGACCCCGCTTGGTATCTGAGAGACGGAAGGGACGAGGGACTACCCCGCTTCAGCTCCCCTCGAGCCACACTTCCACAAAGAGAGAGAGAGAGAGAGAGAGATACCTTAAACTTTAAACCCCTTGATTCTTATGGCAGCTTAACGAGCGACTGCGAACATTTTCCTTTAGGCAGTAACGAAAAGGCAACCCCTGACCGACGCATTTTACCCTCGTTAAGGCGCCGAGCGTCCCGACGTCCTTCGCCGATTATACGCGACGTCTTAACTGACACTAAAAGCACAGTGCTTAACGGTAAGGGACGTAGGAGCCACACTCCGTTCAAAATTATCATGTACGAATACAGGTGCGTACACAGATCATCCCTTAAAAGTCTAAAGAAAAAAAAGAAACGTTATGAAAGCCCCTTAAGACTTGTCGAACATCCGCTTAAAACACTGGGCTAATTAAAATAGTAATTAAAAAGGTAGCAAGGGATGTTAGGACTCGATGGAGGAGGGGGGGGAGATGAGAGTGAGAAGCAAGAAGGGGTGGTAGGAAAGGGGGGGAGAAGGGATGAAAAGAGAGAAGCCGTTAATTTAACGTAATCATTCGGTGTGACTAAGCAAGTGAACGGAGCATTGCAATATTCTTTATTAAAATATCAAGAAGACACCACCCCCCCCATTCCCCCCCCTGAAAAATCCTAACCTCAACGCGGCCCCCCCTTAAGCCCGACAATAATGAATCGAGATATTCTTTCGTATGCCGTGGTATCTTTTTGAATCCTTCATAAATCTCGTCCGCGGCCCAGCATCCAAGTTTGGTCCAGAGTAAGTCTAAACTCACGGCAAAGTAGTTTACGACAGGGGTATAGTCGTTTTAGAAGCAAATGATCGTAATAGAAAACGTGCGCGCGCATCGAAAAGGCACGCAGCATCCCTACTGGACCATTTTAAGCGCGATCCTACGGCGCGAACAGCGTCTTCGAGATCGGGAGCTGCGGAGGTGCCGCAGGCCTTATTATCCGCGTTAATGCGCGGCTAATTCGCGCTTGAAACGCGCCGTACCGGCCGCTCCTCGTACCTACGGTATTTATGGACCAGTGATAAAATTCTCGTAAAATCATCTCCGCGTGCTGCAACGCGATGCTCGTTTCGACGCGAGTTCAAAAGGGTCTCGGTGCTGTTGGCTGTTGGCAGACCTGGTTGTTGCGCGTATGGTCCGCCGCTCGGCTGTTTGGTACGACTGAACGAAAGAGCCAATTTTATTGAGGCTAAACATTAATTTAGCCATAAAAAGAAAGATTCGGTGTGAGATGGATTTTACAGAGGTGTCAGAGATACGGTTTCCTTTCGCTCGTTACTTTTTGAACGAACCTTCAACCTTTTCATCCAACCCACCTACCCTTGGTGCAAAAATCGTGAAAAGAGGAACTTTACAAGAACTCTTTTTCTTTTAACGGGCAACATTTGTAGTACTTTTCTGTACTTTGTTCTTATGTGACCTTTATGGTTATATATATATATACGTATAAATGACGTATAACAAGGGGGATATGAAACTGATTCGAACTGACACCAGTCGAGTTAGGGGACGAAATTCTTTCTTGTATATGGATTAGTTCGTCGCGTCCGAATCAGCCGTTATCTCTGATATTAACTAGAATTGACGCGACTTGCGAGTTAGGATCGAAGAAAAAAAAATTGTCTGGTTACATAATTTTTTTTACCATCATTTTTTTTCTCATCTACCAGAGAAACTACCAAACAGATATAAAATTCGTCATTTACGTAAAAGCGTGACTCCTGGTAAACTGGCACGGATGTTCCCAACGCATTTCGTATACGAGCCTCAAAGTAAATTCCCATAAATACCCGAGTGAATCGACTAAATTATTAAAAATATCTGAATAATCGAAAGAGACTGAAGAACAGTTTGTTTTTTTTTCCATGCTTTCCCCCATTTCCCTTGTAATCTATCCACATTTACGTAAATGCACGTGCCAGTCCGTCGAAGCGAGAGAAGGACAAACGAAAAAAGTTCACTGACCGAAAAAAAAAAGAACAGACCGGAAATAGATATTGCGGTATATTTTCAAACAGGAAATCCAAAGTATACCGGATATTGAAATATCTTTCACTATCATCGCCCCTCCCCGTTACAGGATACAAACGTCCATGATATTTTGAAAAAAAAAATTCAACCCCCTCCCTCGCCCAAAAAAAAAGATTTCACGAAAATATCCACAAAAAAAATTTTTTTTCAGTAATCAAAAAATACACCGACATGCACATCAATGCTTATCATTATATCTATATACAATTAATAAATAACATATCAAGAAAAAGGCACGCAAGTATGGTTAAGCAATAGTGAATTGGTTAATGAAAAATTTGAATAAAGGTTCATCATTCTTTTCTTCACAATACACAGTGTACCCAGAGGGAGATAATTAATTGAAAAAAAAAAGGAAGACAAAGATATAATAGGACTAAAAAAAATAAATAAATTCTTGCATCATTGAAAATGGCGTCTAGCCTACCTTGGTCGAATACAAGGCAGCGGGTAGTCTTGGCAGCGAGTCCCGGGGGCAGAGCGAACCTGTAGGCCGGGCCCAGCGACAGCCCCAGCCCCAGCCCGAGGGCTTCCGCGCCGCATCGGCCCCCGAACACAGGCCCCACTAGAATAACCCAGATAATAACGATTGAACAGTCATAGTGAATAAACAGTCTGATTAACATGAAAAGCAAAAAAAAAATTTTTTTTACAAAATTTAACAAAAATTCAATATTGATTTCATTTACCGACTGACAGCAATATTATATTATTATATTTCCATGAATGACGATTACATCTGAACGAAGATAAGAAACACAATAAATATATGACGCAATAATAACAATGATATGCATACAGATATGGTATTACGTAAGACCGGATCAAACGATATCGGTTAACGTTTATTATGAATATATATATACAAAGTACATATATAAGATCGTATGAGATAGAACGAGAGAAAAGTCAGCAGCAACCCTCGTGGATACGTAAAATCCTATTGGGGGATGATGGCTTTCATTATTATCCCATATCTATCGAGATACATCGGTATACAGGCCCTGTCATTACACACTAAATTCCCTAGTCTAGTTTATTGCTTTTTAGTGTACAGCCCAGCACGTGTCTCTTTGAGCACCCTTATTCTATGGATCCCGTTATAATCAACCCCCGACGTATACCCATATACGGTACCGAAGTATGGTATATGGAAAAAAATTTTTTTCAATTCTCCATGACACTCCGAGAGATAGCGTGGGATAAAAAAAAATCCCTAGAAGGCTGATCTAGAATCTAGAAACTTTTTTCGGATAACCTCTTGGATGAACGAGCGCGACGAGCCTTGTAATGCTCGGGAGCTTAACATACTTTTAAATTGCGCCTTTGAGATGCAGAGTGGATGCTGAGGCGGGAGGAGGAGGAGGAAGAAGAAGTGGCAGTAGGTAATACCAGGTCGGCTCAGCCTTTTGGCTTAGTAGCTTATACGCTGATTAAGACACCCGATACAATTAGGCGAGCCAAAAAAAGAGGAAGAGCCTCAAAAGATGCTGGGAGGCTGGTCGGTATAGAAAGCATTGAGATCAACGTTACACCATAGGGACATACCTGGTGTTCAATTTACATTATATATATTTATATATTTTTTTTTTCATCTTCAACACTTACGCAAACGCTTTTGGCCGAGTCGAAAGTAAAGATATAAGATAAGCTACCCGAAATGCACTACGATAACACACGGTATATATATATATATATGTATATATATTTATAACCTCTGACAAATCTCATACCACGTGGTCAGTGGCGTACAGGATTTTGCGAGGGGAAAGCCGAGAGGCCACGTGATCGAAATAAAATACTAGGAAAATGTATATTAATGTCACGAAGGCTAATTGCGTTATTTCGCGTAAAATGAACGGCGATACCAAGCGAAATCGAGTGACGGTTCATAGCCCGGAGGGACGTGAAACGTTTATAATATTTTTTGGTTGCCCCCTCGAAATTCATTAAATAAATCGTCAAACTGTACACGGTATCCATAATGTACGAATGCCATTTTTTTTTTCTTGTAAAATAAATGGCGTCCACCATTTAAAGTCTAAAAAAAAGTATATCGCGAATCCAATAAAACGAACCGATAGCTTCGTTACCGACAAACAGGACACCCTGTAGATACGGTCAGGTGGATACCCACAGTGAATCGCGCCATTAAGCCCAGAAGTAAGTATAAGCGGCGGTGCTGACTTTGTCAGTACTAATCCTCAAGTATGGCTACCGTGCACGCCGGTGAGCGTTACTAAACTGCTTCGTGCCAATTAGTCTTCCTCCCCCCCCCAATTCCGGTACCGATTCTCACCTTTGCTTTATACCGATTCCCTTGCCTCGCCCTGTACCTTCCTTCACCAAACCGGCAGCGCCTATCTCTCTCGAGGGTCCCACGCTCGTATGGGAAATAGAATGAGAGCGAGAGAGAAGGAGAGAAAGAAGAAAAAAAAGAAATCGTTAAATCTTCAAGAGCGAAAGGAAACCGGCACGAGCGGATACCAATGAAAAATTGCATGTACTCTCACTATACCGAAGATGGCGATCTCCGGCAGTTCCAGCTGACAGTTGGTCCTGCGATCTTAATCTGCGACGCGGTACAAAAGAAAAAATAAAAATAAAAATAAAAAAAAATAAACAGCGTACATCTCGCAGCAGGTAGGGAAGAAGCGAGCGCAGCATCACTGTGCATCTTGGTCGTTTTTCACTGGCGAGATAAATAAGGAAGAGAAGGACGAAGCGAGATACTAGTATGGGGGAACAAGGATACATATACATATATATACACATATATATATATATATATATATATAAACAAAGAAGAATAAAAAAAGAGAAAAATCATTCGACCGATTGAGAGGACGGGAATCCGTCTCTCCGAGTCCGTCCGTGGCAGCAGACTCGGTCGGCCAGATCAAGACACTCTGAATAATTCATCGAGCGAGAAGCTCGGGAGACGTTCGAGTGGGACTTGACGGCTTCGACTTTCCCATACGGAATACACAGACAACTCCGCCATTTGATAGTTCCGACGTTACCGATTCAACGATTTTAAATTTCCCGCCGAAACTAATCGAGGACGGCACTTGTGCGTTCCGAGCGGGAAAATTCAAAAAGTCTCGATAGCCGCAAACCCAAGTGGCCTTTGACAAGGTAATCCTCCGTCTTCCCAGACAGAATACCGTGGAGCGTGAATAAGGGGGAGGAGGAGGAGGAGGAGGGGGGGTAAGAACCGAAGGGACGACTAAGCAAAATTCTCGCGGTGTAGAGGGTGGAATAAATGCAAAGAGGGGCCAGAGGGGGGGGGAGATACGAAATAAGCCAAGAGTGAAGGAAGCGTAGTGGCTTGGGTTGCAACGACTTAACCGGCTGGCTACACGCCGTGAGATCCTGTTATCCTATACGAGAAACGGTTTTTGATATTAAAGTGAAAATGGTTTAAGGGGTAGACAAAATGAAGAATAGATTGGGAAGGGGGGGTTAAGGGGAGATGGGAGCAAGCCTCCCCTCTCCCGCCTCTCGTTGGCCTCAGTGCAACATCAGGCACGGTATCTAGATTACGGTTATACGCTACAAAGACAAATAGTCGATATATATGCTTTTCTGTATACATATATTACACGGACGTATATATATATATATATATATATATATATATACACACCTTGCCAACGGATAAGGGATAAACACGATAATTAAAACAAAGTCATAAATAGCGCCGAGCAAATCGCACGGCTCAATATTAGCTTAGCAACGGCGTAGGAGACTGTTTGAAACGGTATTGGCCAGCGTGCAGTGGACAGTCCATTCGATAGCGCGATAAATTGGACGTTAACGAGCTGCCGTCTATACATGCAGGTGGGCTCGGTATCGGAGCGAGGAAGATAAATAAATAGATAAAAGCGAAAGAAAGCATAGTGGCAAGGAATTGATCCGGAGTACAGGATCCTACAACCGTAATCCTTGCACGCCGATACCCCGTACGATAATACCGTTGGGTGATGGGAATAAAAAAAAAAGAAGAAGCCCCACGCCCGGTCCCAGGATACAGAGTAGAACCCGAGGGTTTCTTGATTAATTTTACAAGTTTTTAATAAAGCAGAAAAATCTCCGGATAAAAATATCCGACTGATAAACTCGTCGCATAGTTTACCGTGAAGATTGCCGAGAGGATAAAAAAAATATATATATATATACACACATACAAAGCATCCCTCCGGTACTTCGGCAAGATCCTTTACCTCATTCTCTAATTTAAACTCATAAAAAAAAAAAAATTATTTTTCCTCTCTCAAGATCATACCCCCACGACCCATCCGTAAGACTCGTGACGTAATTTTTATCCCAAGCTACGTGCCTCCCCTCCTTTCCCTCCCGCCCACCGGGTACCCGCTGGCCCTGGCAGGACCATCCACCCGGAGAGATATGGCCAAAGTTTCTCAGGCCGTTCAAGTTTCACGGTGGTTGATATTTCATACAGAGTTGGTAACGGGTATCCCGGGTTGACCGATCAACCCGTTCCCTTTGCACCCAGCGTCACCTATATTGTCCGCGTATTATTAACCCGACGACCGGGGGCCCCGTCGGTTCAGGCCCAGTCTGGTACCCTTGAACGGAGTGTGGTTTCGCGTCCGGATGGACGTTCGCCATTCGCGGGGCTTCCCCCGTGCGTCTCGTTCCGCCCCAGGACACTGGGGTACCCCCCCCTATCCTCAGCCCCCTACGAGTCACATATGCATAGTCGAATTTCGATAGGGGGAGGGGTCCAAACGTGAAATTCCAACTTTCACCCGACTTACGGGTTGGACCAGGGAAGAGAAGGGGTCCAAAGGGGGGCCCCCCTTGGAACGTGGAAAAAAAAAAAATAATATCGTCCTAAGAAACCACAAGGATGCCCCTCCCTACCCCCTCCCGAACACGACTCGAGCTCTGTTCCCGTTTGCATTAAACGCGAATTCCGCGGGGAACGATTAAGACCCAAGAGGGGCCCGCTGTCCAGTGGGACCCCCGTTCCGGGGCCCCAATGAAATTCAACGAGCACGAATGAATGTCCTCATTGTTTAAGCGTGAGAACCGGAGGCACGCGCGTCGCCACGTAAATTCGCTATAATTAGATAAACGATCTTGATACGCGGAGTCACTGGTTTCACTGTTGTAATTCCCACGTGTATACGTCGACGGGGATTAATGTTTTTACTTTTTTTTTTCTCTTTTTTCATACCGATTTTACGAACGCCGAGATTTCATTGGATTTTATAGGTTACATTCGTAATGTAGATTATACCCTTGAAGACGTATAGCTGTCTCTCTCTCTCTCTCTGTACCTACTGTGGATTTCGTTTACGTAGGTGAGAGGTCGGTATAAGGGGTGGGTTAGCCTATTGGAATTATTCCAGCGAGTCATCGGGACTTATACCCGCTTATGGGATTACCAGCATTACTCCCACAGTGTTCCCTGCTACCCTTTACCCCTTGGCGAAGATCTGCGATAAGCCCTGCTACAGGTATTACGTACATATATATATACTGGGTGTCGGTTTTCTTCTTTACACTCGAAATGGCATTAGCACGAGTTAACCG